GAAATCCTTGACAACTTCAATCTTTTCTCCATTTATCATGATGCTGCTTATTGGTCCAGTTGTGAGGATTTTTGTTTTCTTTATGTTGAGGTGTAATCCACAGTGAAGGCTGTAGTCTTTGATTTTCATCAGTAAGTGCTTCAAGTCCTCTTTGTTCATCAAGTAAGGTTGTGTCATCTACATATTGCAAGTTGTTAATGAGTGTTCCTCTAGCCGTGATGCTGTGTTCTTCTTCATATAGTCCAGTTTCTCAGATTATTTGCTCGGCATATGGATTGAATAAGTATGGTGAAAGAATACAACCCTGACCCACACCTTTCCTGATTTTAAACCATGCAGTATCCCCTTGTTCTGTTTGAATGACTGTCTCTTGGTCTATGTACAGGTTTCACATGAGCATTATTAAGGGTTCTGGAATTCCCCTTCTTCACAATGTTATCCGTAGTTTCTTATGATCCACACAGTCGAATGCCTTTGCATGGTCAGTAAAACACAGGTAAACATCTTTCTGGTATTCTCTACTTTCAGCCAAGATCCATCTTTATCAGCAATGAAATCCCTTGTTCCATGCCCTCCTCTGAATCCAGCTTGAAATTTCTGGCAGTTCCCTGTCCATGTACTACTGCAACTGTTTTTGAATTATCGTCAGCAAAATTTTATTGCCTTTGATATTAATGATATTGTTCAATAATTTACACATTCCTTTGGATTACCTTTCTTTGGAATGGGCATGAATATGGATCTCTTCTATTCGGTTGGCCAGGTAGCTGTCTTCCAAATTTCTTGGCACAGACGAGTACGTGCTTCCAGCATTGCATCTATTTGTTGAAACATCTCAGTTGGTATTCTGTCAATTCCAGGAGCCTTGTTTTTCGCCAGTGTCTTCAGTGCAGCTTGGACTTCCTCCTTTGGTACCATTGGTTCTTGATTATTTGCTACCTCCTGAGATGGTTGAACTTTGACCAGTTTAGTTCCTTTTGGTACAGTGACTCGTATATTCCTTTCATCTTCTTTTGATAATTCCTGTACCATTCAATATTTTGTCCATAGAATCCTTCGGTATTTCGACTTGAGGCTTGAATTTTTCCTTCAGTTCTTTCAGCTTGAGGAATGTCAAGTGTGTTCTTTCCTTTTAGTTTTCTAACTCCAGGTCTTTGCACATTTCATTATAATACTTTATCTTCTCGAGCTGCCCTTTGAAATCTTCTGTTCAGCAATTTTGCTTTCGTGGACTTGTTCTAATTTTTTCAGCTTCAACTTGAACTTGTATAT